TCTAAATGCTTATCAATTTGCAGACCCAAAAATTTTATCACAGGAACTTCATTCATAAACAAATTCCCGCTAGCAATTGCCAGAGAGTTATAAGACTGTTTTAGGGCAAATCTAATAATAATAGTTTTAGTGATATTTAAGGCCAACTTATTAGCTGTGAACCAATTTACAATAAGAGACAGTGTACCCATGACTTTATGCTTAAGCTCAGCATGATTATTACCAGTAACCAAAATACTTTTATCATCAGCAAAAAGAAAAACTTTAGCCAGTTTATTCATATATGGAGGCAAATCATTAATGTAAATAATAAATAGAAGTGGTCCCAAAACCGACCCCTGAGGAACCCCTTGCTTAACTTTCCCAAGATGAAAAATAGTCCTGACCGTCATTAGCTTTAATGTACACTCTCTGTTTTCTATTGAATAGATATGATTTGAACCAGCTTAATATACAACCCCGGACACCCGTAATACTCATGTTTAGATGTCAATAACTCAAAATTAAAACAGTAAAAAGCTTTAGCAAGGTCACAAAAAATCCCTGCAGTTTGCAGTTTGTCATTCCAGGCCTGAAGTATGCCAGTATACCACTGCTACACTACCTCTCACCTCTTCATGTAAAATAAAGGGTAAAAAGGTAAAGCTATCCCTGTAATGGGCCGTGGAGGCCCACAGGGTTGTGAGACGTAGAGACTGCCGCATTTTCTAGGCAATCGGCTCACAGATGGCAGTGAGGTCTTCAGCCTTACGCGCCGGCCACCCTTTATCACCAAAGATTCCTGGTACTCCTCATTTGTGTTACAGACTGAGTAGACTCCATGGCCATGGAGCAGCTGGAAGGATTAGGTCAACTGAAAATCCAATGACCTCATCAAGAAATCAAACCTGCAGCCTTCCAGCTTGTAGCATTGCGCCTCACAATGCAGAAGCTAAGACTTAAAAGACAGCTTGCACTTCATAGTTTCTCAGATATGTTTACATATGGTGCCTCAAAGTAAATGAAGATCAATTAATTAATAATCAGATATCCTCATTCTCCAATTATTATAAACATCTGATGTAGAAAGAGCTTCATATGTTATTGTTTTGCTGTCCGCTACAACATATATGTATTCTTCTTCATTGTCAGTTACTGCTGTCAGTATCTCAGGCTGTACAACATAGCACTCAATGGAAGGATGACTGATGAATAATGAATCAGAAAGGATCTTAAAGGAAGTCATGGATTATTAGGTATTATTCTGTTCTGACTTGAGGATCCCATAATGGTGACTATGAAGTGAACTATTATTGTCTGGGATGTGAGATTGTGAAGTCCAAAACAAGTTCGCCCACATTTTGCAGGAATGTACTGCCTCCATCTTCAGAACAGAGTAGGCCAAGCAGAAAACCAGAGAGAAGTAGGCTGACAAAACACAGTGTGCAGTACACTTCTCTAAATCACTGATGAACTTCTATCAGACTATGTGGCATTACATCCCAGAGTTTAATACTCATCAGGTACTATGATTCTAGCTGTACTGTCTCATATTTGTGTCCTGTCACAAAGCGGTATTCTTCCTGTGCTATGAGAGCTCACATATACTGAATTACACAGTCCCTGAAAATGGCAACATCATTTAAGCACATATTGTTTTAAGAAACATATACATGCCAGTACAAAAATAAGTATACACTTTTCATATACTGCAACATAAAGGGCAAAGTTCGTAAGCATTGGATGAATTACTGCTGGCCCTCTCCAGGACAGACCTTCTTGGTTCCTGGGTCCGTGGGATTCATCACAATATTTTTCAGTTTCATAACTCTGGGAGTCATGCAGCTACCACCACCAGTTCATAAGAGGATAAGAGGTTTACTATAAAGGGCTTGAGGTATGCTGACTTACTGTATTTTGTCCCTGATGTCAGATTTGGCAATTTCACTTTGTGGATATATTGTTTTCTCTTTTCATTTCCACCACTGACAAACTGGGTGGAGGTTCCATTTGCTGTCAAGTTAGGTCCACCAATGCCATACTCAACGATGGATTCTTTTGTTCCATTGACTGTGCTCCATGTGACAACTACATCATTCACAGTATCTGGATCAAATCAAAGGACTCACAACATTGATTGTATAATGAGTACTGAAATCCTCATCCTAAATACTAAACACTGTGGTCAAGCAGGTAGCAATCCAGCTCACTTAGTGGCCCACAGGCCCTCCTCAAAATGTTCCCCTCCCATTTTTAAATATTCACCATATTCTGTTCTTTCATAATAGCAGCTGGACAAAATCCAGAACTTCAGTAATCCAAAGTGTAATTTACTGTTAACAGAACGCTGCAGCACTGGCTTATATTGCAAAATGCTTTATGTAAAATTGTAGATATATATATTTTATTACGATGTACATATCTTCCTAAATGATGAGAAATGTCATACATGTCTACACTCTGCCATGACACCAAATTTCACACACACACACACACACACACGCTACTATTAACTATAAATTTTCATATTTATTTTTTGTACGAATTCAATGTTTTCTTCCTTAAATGAATGAAAATAACACCTGAAAATATTTTCAACTCAGTAAATGTGTAATGTAGTACATGTAACTTGTTATTTTGATCATAAATATACTGAGCATACACTGTTTAATATTTTTTATTTATAAGGACTCATGTGTTAAACGGAAAAACGTTCTGTTACCTTATGGGATTCGGTCATAATCAGGATTTAATATCATTTCAGATCTTATAATTTCAGTGCTCTTGTTTCATACATTATTATTTATCTTAATTAAATATTTAATATGCATACTACATAAAACTGTACAGTGAGAATCTTCATAACTTGTACTCTTCGCCAAATATAATTATAATTACCAAGTCAACGTGGTTAAGATGGGCACGGCATGCAGCATGCATGGGGGAGCCGATGAATGCATATAGGATTTTGGGGGGAAAGCGACCACTTGGAAGATCGTGATGTAGATTGGACAATATTAAAGTGGATCTTAGTGAGAAAAGATGGGGTGGTACAGACTGGATTAATCTGGCTAAGGATAAGGGCCAGCGGGGGGCTCTTGTGAACACGGCAATGAACCTGCGGGTTCCATAATGTTTGGTTATTCTTGAGTAGCTGGGAGAATGGCGGTTTCTTAAGGACTCCGCTCCATGGAGTTGGTTAGTTACTACATAAAAACGCCACGAACTTTACCTCCATAGGACAGATGAATTTGTTCTGGTTGATAAGACACCATACAATAACTCAGTCGTAGGGAACATAACCACAAAATAAGAATTCCATACATGATTGGTTTGGCACTGACATATACCATTTCAGATATGGGAGAAGACTATGTTGACATGTTTATATCTTGCAAACAATTAATTTTTAAACTGCTACCAAATTCATTTCTCCCCACTTCCCATCTACCAATCACACATTTCATTCGACCCAGGACATGTTTTCGTACATTACGACCAGATGGCAGTAGTAGCGAGCTTCTCAATAATGACAAAAGTGGCACTAAGCACTTTAGTTTCCTAAATGGATAAAAATATAATTTGTGTGATTCCTTGATTGTAATGGCCCTGCCTGGTTCTGTGGCTCTCCAAATATACTGTGCGTGTCTTGCATATTTTAATTACCGCTTTCTGATTTGAATATTATTGCGTATTTATCCTATTGTTGAGCGGTGATACTTAAACGCTTACTCCATTTACCGTATGTAACATACCATATGACACTGAATCATGCGCCGAACAGCTGATATGTGTATGCAGTAATGCGTTTGACGTGTGGTGCACTGTGTGAGCATTATTCGACATTTATTTTGCGCAGTTATATTTACTTGGTTAAAACCAGTACTGTTGTTAATAATGTATTTTTAACGTAGCGACTTTAATATTAATAAAAAAATTGTCTAAACGTGTTTATTTCTGGATATTACAGTGTATTTCTCTCCTGAATTCTTGAAGTTTAATAACGATTGTCAAAATTCAACAATATAATAATGAATTTCGGCGTCCCTTTGCACGTGGTTTATTTTGTACAAATCAGCCCTTCATTCATCTAATCTATTCAAATGGGAGACGGCTGAAAACGTTAGTGGACATCTACCATACGATACGGCGTCACATCCCAGAAGCCCTATACCTTTCATTGTGCCCGTTTTGAGAACCCAGAACTAACGCTGTAGCTGTATATTTTCACCTTTCCTTTTTGTTTTTCCCCTTACTAACGTATGGAAAGATAAGATTCAGAAATATGAGATTTGATGTTCTCATAATTGTGAATATTAAGACTGTGATCTTCTGGAATGTTATACTATGTAGTCTGGTGGATGGCTATAGACGTTTTGATGGAACCTGCTTCCTCCATATTCAGCTTCTACCTTTAAGATGGAAGCAGCAGGTTCCCCTGGAACATTTGCTCACGTAGAGCAAATTGGCTCATGTCAGTGGTGAATGGTTTTGAATCTTAGTTGGAATTAGTTGGAATATCACCTGTCCTGGTTACACTATTTGTGGTTTTGTATTATCCATTTAGGTAAATGATATGATAGTATGAGAAATTAGGCCCTCACAGCCTCCTTGCACAGCATTTCCAATTTTGTTATTCATTTGATCATCCTGCAATATTATGCTATACAGTCTGGGGTGACAATTAATAATAAATCCCAGAAAACCACAGCCTTAATATTTATAAGCTTTATCCTGCTACACTGTATTTTTATTTTCAGATAAACCATGGTTTTACGTTTTGTTGTGATACTGTGCTGCATCAAGCTCATTTCCTCGTTTGTTTCATATCAGCCAGAGCAAGTGCACCTGTCATATGGAGGTAAGGATTGTATTCTGTGTACTCTTGAAAGGTAGAACTCTCTGAAAACATTCTGAAGAAGTGGTCCATACTTCCTGAAAGGTGGATTAGAAAAACACTGACGGCAAAGATAAAATAGCCCCCGTGACCAATCAAGCACTACACCACGAAGACTTATGGAGAAATAGTGACATAATTTCACACATTCTTAACCTTGACACTGGATGGAGATGAGTGGTCAGTGTCATGCCCCAGCTGCTTTTCCCCTGGGGAAAGAGCCCCAGGTACCCATTGGATAGGAGGCTGGATAAGCCCTAGAGCCGATATGGATGCAGTTAATATATGCCTGGGTAGTACATGTACATTGACTGAGCCATCTGGCTCATGTAGAAGGACACTATTAAAGAGAAAGCTATTTCATGTATCAAATATACTTCAGAAAAAAATACTAAATTTTATTCGAAAATATATTGTAATAAATGGTATCTCATCCATTGTTTGCATTTTGAATATGCAGGTATCAGTTATTTCAAAACATAATTTAATTTTTGGAATCATATAATTAAGTTATTGATTAATGAAAGTACAGTACAACACCAATTATTTGAATCCTGATTATCCAAATTTCTAATTAACTGAATCACTGTAACCAGAAATGTGTCTGGTAAACAAACATCATTGTTGGACTTTTTCAAGTAAAGTGTTTGAAAATGTTAATGTATAATCATTTATTAATTTTTCGTCTTTTGCCTGTTTTGAAAGCTTTTTATTATTATTATTACACTAGTGCAGTACATTATAATAGTGGTTCTTTGTGGATAAGAATTTAATCCAAATTTTAAATTATCTGAACCACCTTTGTCGCTAATTAATTCGGACAATCGGAATTTTACTGTAAATAATTTATTCTGCAGAAATATAAAACTTCAGAAAATGAGGTATAAAGACTGTATTTTATATCATGGAAGACGAACTTCTATTTCATTCATAGCAGTTGGTACATTTCCCCCGAGAATGGTCTGACTGTATGAAGAGGATGTCCTTTTGCTTTGAGTTAAAATTTGTGCCATTGAACAGAAACATTAAGGTGAAACTGATCTCATGTTGTGAGATGTGAGGTTCAGACCCCAAGATTACCTCCTCCTGCTTTGTGATATCATGTAAACAGTTATCCTCCTGCCTTTGCCTTCTACCCCAAAGATGGCGGCATTAGGTTCCTCTAAAATGTTGTTAACTACCAGAATACACAGCGTCACTTCATAGAAGACAGTAGTGTTCGCTGTTCATGTTGATTCTGATCTTAAGAATCTCCTTCTGATCTTCTGATCATTCTCATGTCAATGTTGGTTGTGTTATTGACATTTTGGAGACATATGCAGCATCTGTCTTTAGTGTTGAAGTAAGAAAGGTGAATGAGTCTTCGTGCATGTATAGGTTTTGATCAAACAGGCCCATGGGGAAAGGGTCAGAGGTCATGCCCACTCTGAGTTTAAGTCTGTTGGACTCACCTACTGTACTCACTTCAACCCTGAAGATGGATGTGCAGCATATATCTCTGAAACGTTGGCAACGCTGCCCATATGCGCGCAATTTAAACAGCTAAGAGCAGAACCATCATTAACCACCATGAAAGCCTAAAATCTGAAGTAGTTTATTGTTGACATCATAATGTAGAAATATTTCGCTTATATCTGAACATTTCTATAGGAAATCCATATGAAATTGTTGTAATGTGGAGCACAACCAATCAGACGAATGAATCTGTAGTTGAATATGGAATTGGTGGTCTTATAAAACAAGCAACAGGGCTGTCAACATTATTTGTCAGTGGTGACAATGAGACCAGGAGCCAGTATATTCACAGGGTGACTCTTCTCCAGTTGACACCAAGAAGCAAATATGGTAAGGCTTAAAGCACTCTTTTGCTGGAAATATTCTTTAAGTCAGCATGGCTTAAAGTGGTCAAAAGCACAAGGGCACTGTTTCAGTAATGTTCTGTGATTTAACATAACATTAATTTTGAAGTTTTGTTATCTGATACGTATAAAAATCTAACACTCCTGTTTCCTACCATAGACCTAAGAGAGAACACACAAAGATATTACAAAATTTATTTTATACTCTTGCCAATATGTATGGTAGCCACTGCTGTTAAAGTGATTTGCAAGTGGTGTTGTAGAGTTTTGGATGCAATTCAAATCCTCGTTCCATGAGCAGTGGTAAACAAACCAGGAATCTGCCACCATCCCGTTTTTTTTTTTAGAAAAAAAAATAAGAGAAGACATTAATAATAATTATTTATAAGTATATTAAAAAGTCTTCTATCTTGAATACTCTAGGGTTGCCAGTATAAATATTCTTAAATGGCTTAAACTGAAGATTGTAAGAAAATTTTCTGGCTATTCCCCCTTTGAAAGCTACCTACCCCATCATTGAAAATCTTCTGGCAGTGACCATGCCTCATAGCCAATAATTTTTATGATTACACAGGTAAAGTTTAGTTTCTTAATTTGAGTTTGTTCCTTCTCTAAAGTTTTAGCAACTATATATTTTGTTATTGACAATGAAACCAACCATATGCTCAGCAAAGAATGTGTGTGCTGGCTTTCTTGAAACAAGAGTTTGTGATACTTAATATAGTGCAATACAGATTTTTCCTCTCAATACTCAATTACACTATGCGAATTTTTAATTCGCATAGTGGTGGGTGGAGTCCAGTTGGGTCCACTTGGCACGTCGGCCACTGATTGGCCTATTGTACCTGCCCTGGGTGATTATGATGGAGAATTTGGTGGAGTGAAGATTAACAGGGGGAACCGAAGTACTCGGTGAAAACCTGCCCCAGCGCCACTTTGTCCACCACAGATCCCACTTGACCAGACCTGGGCTCAAACCTGGGCCGCAGTGGTGGGAAACTAGCGACTAACCGCTTGAGCTATGGTGCGGCCCTCAATTACACTTAGTTTAATTCTTGATGTCTGGTGACAGCCCTGTAACCACTTGGCTCCTACTTAAGTGAAGGTCTGAGGATGCTCATGTAATTGAATTACCTTAATATTATCATTAATTGGTTGAGACACTATGCTACGAGCTGGAAGGTTGTGGGTTCGATTCCCAATGAGGTCACTGGGTTTTCAGTTGACCTAATCCTTCCAGCCGCACTGTGGCCATGGGGTCAAGTGAGCCTCTAATAGAAATGAATACCAGGAATCTTCCTGGAGGTAAAGGTCACCTGGTGGGTGCGTAAGGCTGACAACTTCACCGTCATCTCTGAGCTGACTGTCTAGAAAATGTGGGAGCCTCGACATCTCACAACTCTAAGAGCCTCCATGGCCTGTTACAGGGATAGCTTAGCGTTTACCTTTACTCTTGGCATGCATTGTTTCAATATTTTTATGCAGAAAAAACCTGTGAGGATGGATGCAAAGTGAATGAAGTCTGGTTGCATCTCTTTTTCTCCAGAGCTTCTTCTTAACGGCATGGTCCCTTTGCAGTAGATAGCACTACCCTTCAAACTCCCACCTTGCTACTGCTTTGAGACTTATACGTGGGTTACTTCAAAAGTCATGGCAACATCATTTTTCCGAAATTTCAAAAGCTCTTACCGGAATTTCCAAATTTGCTGCTGAGAGACGTCAGTGTCTGATTTCTAATGATGCTGCTAGATGATGCTGAAGTCCAAAGACAATGAAGCAAGTCCAGCGCGCAGTCAATGTGATCATAACCTTCATCAACAATGAACGTTAGCCGGCTGGAACAGCGTTGTTACGTGAAAATAGCAGTGCTTCGCGGCAGAAATGTGACTGAATGTCACTCAGAGCTTGTGGAAGCTCTGGGTGATCATGCTCTACCATACAGAACTGTTGCAAGGTGGATAGAAGCATTCCAATGTGGAAGAGAAGCAAGTGCCGACTTGCAACCTAGTGGATTTCCCACACAGCAAACAGTGTCAAGAACCATTTACGACATTGGGGATGGGAAGTACTACACCATCCTCCATGTTCACCCAACCTTTCACCATGTGACTATGACTTAATACCCAAACTGAAACAGCCATTGGGAGGGAAACGCTTTCATACACGAGAGGACATTTCTGACACAGTTTGGTGTGAGATGACAAGATTTGGAGATGGTGAAGCTGATGGTATTCGCTGTCTTCCTCATCGCTGGCAGCGAGTACTTGATACACTTGGAGACTACTTTGAAGGTTGATAGTCATAATGTAAGAATTCAGATTTAACTCACATTGAAGTTTTTATTTCTTAATCACAATTGAATTTTTTGAGGATTAAAGAATGAAAAAAAACAGTCATTCCATAATGTGCATTTTTTCTTGCCTACTATACCTACGACCCTTCACATCTACATGATCTGACTAAGCCAATCGTAGGGGTATATCATGCCCTTTCATGAGTATATTTTGAACTTTCTTCACTGTAATGTGTTTGCCCCAAAAAATTAGTTGCCATGACTTCTGAAGTAACCCATGTATATATCAGATGATGGTACCTGCCTGTTGGGTAGCACCATGCTCTATAACCCCTGTCCTTCCATCCTTCTGCATTACTTGCTCTGAAGGTGGTGACTCCAGTAGATACTGAAATGTTGGACCAACTTCAACATACAACAGTGCTAAATCCTGAAAGCTGAAATTACACAGTAGAAAAAATAAATTAGGTTAATGGATCAAGGCCAAGATCTGTTTCTTTTCAGTCAGTTTTCAACGTTTCTAACTAAACAGCTGTTTTGGACATCTTTCTTTGGTCAGTTGGAAAGGTGAAGTTATCCTTGTGTGTAATTAATTAAGCACCACACCATGAAGATGTATGGGGGAGTGGTGGTATAGCTCCACCATACTTGACATCAGAACTAGATGGAAGGGTGTGTGGTCAGCCTCATGCCCTGACTGCCTTACCCCACTGATACCCACTGGATAGGAGGCTGGGTGGACCCCAGAGCCATTGTGAACACAGTGGAGTAGAGAAAAATGTCTTGCCCATATCAAGAGCTGAACCCTCTTTGTTGAGCCTGTGGCCTTTCACTGTATTGGCTGAGCTATCCCAGCTCCTCTTTGTTCAGATGACAATGAGGCTATTTTAGATGTTTTGAAATTTTCCGATCTACAAATTCACAATTTTCAAATTGCCTTTCAACCAAGTTCTGCCTAATTTTTGTTACTCACATGTTCAAGCTTTGGTATGTATGCTTACTGTTTTGCACACCATTTCTGCAGTGTACCACTGTGGCAGTGACCAGGGGTGGTCAGACCTTTTCTGGTTTATGACATCATCCGATGAATCCACGTGGACTCCTCAGCTGGCAATATTTGGTGACCTGGGTAATGAAAATGCCAGATCACTGCCACATCTACAGGAGGAAGTTCAGCGTGGCATGTACGATGCAATCTTGCATGTTGGTGATTTTGCATATGATATGGACTCTGTAAGTACAGCATTACACAGTAAATCCCCATGATCCCCTTTGGGAATCAGAGGATTTTAATGCTAAATGTGGGATATTTATCGAGTGAGCGGTATAAATGTGCATTGGCATTTATGACTATTTGCAACTGGGTAAAAATCAAATGGATATTTTATCTACCTGGCATAAAATTAAATAAAGTTGAACATGTATCAAGCTGTAGAATGGTCTGACAGTAAGCAAAATGTACAGTGAGGTAAAAAAAAGTAAAGTTGTCCCTGTGCTTAACTAATTAAGCACTACGCCAAGAAGGCGTATGGGAGAGTGGATTTATATATCCACATTGTCTTGACTTCAGCACTAGCTGGAGCTGAGTGGTCAGCTTCACTCCCTGGCCGCTGTACCCCTGGGGAAAGAGACCCCGGTACCCATTGGATGGGAGGTTGGGTGGCCCCCAGAGCCGTTCTGGATGACGTGGAGAAGAGAAAATTCTTGTCTCTACTGGGACTCAAACTCTGACCCCTCAGTCGTCCAGCCAGTAGCCAGTCACTACACCAACTATGCTATCCCAGCTCCCTGGATCGTATTACCTTCAGTACTGACACAAGCACAACAGAGTGTAAACAATGGAAGAACATTCTGTGTTGCCAACTGAAGTTCTTTCAGTGTAGCCAACACAGATTCTGTTCCTCAGTTTACTAGTGTTTCCGTTATTTTGTCCACCCCCTGTATATCACTGGAGTTTAAATCAGGTTGTCACTTGACAAGGCAAGTGTCCTGTTTTTCTTGGTTTGTGAGCCATTACCACACGAGCAAGCAGCATTATAACCTTGATCTGAAAGTCTATCAAAGATTTGAACAGTGTATCCACCATGGACACAAAGTTTCCTTTAAGGACCCTTTACAAAAAGGACTAAGGACTATTAAAATTAAGTAGGAACCAGCTGAGGCATTTGATAGGACTACTTATATGGCTTTGTCACCTGAAATGACACCTTTCCACTTGTGAGAGGGGCCTGAACACATGGAAGAGCCCCCAGTGTGGCTGAAGCTCTAGCTAACTTAGGATTTCATCACCAAAGACAACTACAAAGCACCCCATTAATTAAATTACTAAACTTCATTTGAAGTTTATGGTCATTAGGTGGCTAACCAGAAGGGGATACATAATAGATCAAAGATTGTCCAGCTCTTATTCATTCATTCATCCATAATGGTGTTTGCCAGCTAAAAAAATTATGAGCAGCATGTAAAAATATGGAAGAAATGTGAAACTGTAACACAACTCTTGTGCCATCCTGTACAGTGACATTACACAGATCTGATATGTATCTTTTTAGGAAAATGGACTCATTGGAGATGAATTCATGAAGCAGATACAACCAATTTCTGCTTATGTTCCGTACATGACATGTCCAGGAAATCACGAGGAAGCTTAGTAAGTAATCTGGTACTGTTTTGTTTTTCCCTGTCCCCCTTCTCATGTATGTAGTAGATGAAGTAAACCGATCTCAAGATTGTGACAGATTTACACATCTTCAATCCTGACAAACCTGAAACTGGTTTTGAGAATGCCATCTGTATCTACGTTCGGATACGTGCCAGGCTGGTGCCTGAATGGTTGGATGGATGTTAGTCGTAGTTGGTATTTTAGAGTTTATCCATTATACATTGGTGTTCAATGAACATGAGCATTCTAGCTCCAAAATTAGGGGCCTTTCAGATGGTCCTCAAAGAACAAAATGGTGAATTTCTCAGAAACAACTTTAATAACTCTGATTAAATTTCAGTAATTCATGGAGATCATCTCTCTTAAGTAAAACTGCCTAGGCATATCTTGAGGGAACTAACAGTATGTGCATTAGGTGCCCAAATGCAAAATATCTGTTTCATCAAAACCAGCTTTACTGGTCATCTGGATTTCACTTTAATATTCAGTAACCAACAATGGTGTACTAAGCAACAATCAGTTTTTTTTCCAAGGAAGGAAAGGTAAAGTCAATCATGCATGAGTAAGGATGTGCAGTGCCTATGTACAGAATTTTAAAAGAGTTTATTATGTTTTTCTTGTGTTGCTGGCTCTGTGATTGTTACAGGGAAAATGTATGGTCACTAAGTCACCCCAGTGAAAACCTAAAGGAAAGAAAAAGAAAGATGGCATTTTTTTTTTCTTTTCTGTGCTTAATTCTTGAAAAATATCAGCCTTTTTCTTTTGTTCATTTGTTTCCAGCAACTTCAGTAACTATCGAGCCCGTTTTAATATGCCGGGTAACTCGGAGGGTCTGTGGTACAGTTTCAACATGGGACCAGTACACTTCATTTCTGTATCAACTGAAGTGTATTACTTCTTGGAATATGGGCTGAAGCTGGTCACTAAGCAGTATGCATGGTTGGAACAGGACCTTCAGGTCTGACTTTGTAATCTAAGTTTACTTTTGCTCATTTGATATTCACGCTCACACATACATACTTTTACACAACCACACACAAGTACACCCATGCACATAAGATACTAAAAATATAGTACAATATTATCGTGATTTTAGAGTGACTGTAGATGGAGTTTGGATTGGTAATTGGATTTATTGAACACTTACAGAACATAACTACAAATAACTATGACAATCTCACTGAGTTACACACTCTAACTACAGTACACATAAAGTCTTCTCAGTCTTCCCTAGCTGTTGCTTGGTAGTGGCTTCCAGTGCTGGATTTCGCTGTGGATATTTTGCTGTTACTGCCTCTGTAAGAAAGGCGTTGGGATCATGAGAACAAAGAATCCTGACAACAGTGGGAATGTGATAGTAATGGGATCACTACTAGGATACAGTGGAAAACCCAGACTATCTTCTGCCATTGTTGGGATATGGGGGAAACCCCAAAGTATCTTTGCAATTGTTGGAACATGGAGGAAAACCCGAAGTATGTCTACAGTTGTTGGGACATGGAGGAAAACTTTTGTAGTACCACGTTTTGCCGCTATGAGTGCATAACCCCGAAGTATGTGCAGTTATTGGGATATGGAGGAAAACCCGAAGTATGTCTACAGTTGTTGGGACATGGAGGAAAACCCAAAGTATGTCTACAGTTGTTGGAATATAGGGGAAACTCCAAAGTATCTGTGCAGTTATTGGGATATGGGAGATAACTTGAAGTATCTCTGGATGTTGCTAGACTTATTAAAAGTGTTTGTTGCGTATAAGTGTGCATTACACCCTGACAATATTGGGCAGATTATCTAGGACAAGATCAAACCTCTTACAAATTTCTAACAAACTCTGTGGTGGAGAGTCCTTGTGTCAAGCAGGTAAGAAATTCCCACCTTTTAGGGACCCTAAGATTCGTTACAAGGTTCACAGGAGCTTATCACTGGTCTTTATTCTGAAGCATCCTGTTCTATCTTGCACTCTCAAGTAGAATTCTGTACTTCCACTTTTCAAGTGGCCTTTTCTGTTTAGCGTTGTGTCACTGTTTGTTACAAGTCCCGCTAAAATCTAAATCTCTGTGCAGTAAATAAAATAATTTTTCTTGGGAGGATTTAAATAAAAGTGTGTATAAAGTGAAATGTTGTGTCACCTAAATTTTGTTACATGAAAGTTTCAATGTGTGCATATGAATGTATGTATGTGAGTATGTAGACATATATACAGGGCTCAGCAAATCCTCCATTCTGCTCATCTATGATGAGCAAAAAATCAAGGCCAGCAAGTGTAAAAATGAATTCTTTGACCAGTAAATTGTATGATATAAGGGTCAGAATGTACGTATATAAACAGAAGTGTATATATATTTTTTTTTGTTCCATTCACTACATGTTTCATCCTATGTATGTCACTGTTAGATGAGGTTGAGGGACATAGAACTGGTGACAGATTACATAAACTACAATGCTAGTTATGGAATTTGTTGGTTAAACTTGGCTGTGTGAGATCTGACATAAATCTATACATACATTAAACTTTAACTTAAAATTAAACATATACGATGGGGTACCCAAAAGAAACTAAACTAATTTTTTTGTGGGCAGAGCTTTTGTAGTACCACGTTTTGCCGCTATGAGTGCATAGAGCTAACATTCCTGAGTCAATAAGCCGACTACCGTTGCTTCAGAAGGTAAGGACTAGTTTCGGCAGAGTTTATAGTGACAACTGTTTTGTGTGATCGTTGTTTTTGCAATGGCTGATTTTCGTGAACAGCATGCGGCGGTCAAATTCTGCTTTTTGCTCGGAAAAAGTGGAACAGAAACTCTTGAAATGATAAAAATGGCATACAAGGATGATGTTATGGGGAAAACTGAAGTGTTTGAGTGGTTTTCCCGTTTCAAAAATTGTGAAAAGTCAATTGATGACAAACCTCGTTCTGGTCGTCCTTCCATGGCCCGAACACATGAAAATGTTGAAAAAATTCGTGAAATCATCAAGGAAGATCGACGACGGACCATTGAAGAAATTGTGGAGCTGTCGGGAGTGACTTGGAGCTCAGCGGCCAGATTTGTGGCAGTCGGGTGACTGGTTTTTCCATCATGACAATGCCCCTGCTCACACAGCCCTGTCTGTACAACAATTCTTGACCAAAAATGGTATGACCCCTGTTCCTCACCCTCCATACTCACCCGACCTTGCCCCATGCAACTTTTTTTTGTTTCCTCGAATGAAAAGAGACATGAAAGGAAAAAATGACGGAGGCGTTGTCAAGCATCTCAAAAGATGAATTTAGACAATGTTTTGAAAAATGGAATAAAAGACTAGACAAGTGTATTAGTGTAAGTGGAGAGTACTTTGAAGGGGATTGAAGGTTTGTGCTTAAAATTTGAATAAATAAGTTTAAAAAAAAATAAGTTCGGTTTCTTTTGGGTACCCCCTCGTATATTACAATCTTAATAGTATTAAAAATTAAACCAAAGCACTGCAGGAGGAAATCCCTTTGAACATGTTCTGGAATGCTTTGTAGTAATTCGCTTAGTGGGGGGCGGAGTCCAACTGGGTCCACTCGGCACGGCTGCCACTGATTGGCCTATTGTAGCCTGCCCCGGGTGATTATGATGATGAAGAATTTGGTGGAATGAAGATTGGCAGGGTAAACCGAAGTACTTCGAGAAATCCGCCCCAGTGCCACTTTGTCCACCACAAATCCCACTTGACCAGACCTGGGGTCGAACCCAGGCCACCACAGTGGGCTGCCAGCGACTAACCGCTTGAGCTATGGCATGGCCGTATGCTTTGTAGGATGTCTGATGGTTGTTGCCTCTTCCAGTTATTCTTGTGTCTTTGGAGCTTTGTGTTTGTTTTTTATGAGGAGTTTTAGTTCTGGTGGTCACTCTAGTGGTCTGCTGTTGTTAGGGATGGTTCAGATTCTGTGAGTTAAATATATATATGGAGTTGCTGTGTGAATAAGTGCTAACTGTGCATTGCTTTCGTGGGGGCAGTCTCCTGTGACACCATACATCCTAGTGTTGGTGTGGAAGCCGACTGGGGTGCACTGTGGTTGAGGGATTTGCACAGTTTTGGCTACGTGGGGTTGTTGTCTAGTGATGTCAGTATATATAATATAAGGATCAGTATTGTGTATCCCGTGTATGTTATGTGACTGTTATGTAGGCTGATATATAGCAATTGCAGTGGTGTGTTATGGAGAAGTGTCTAGAAAGTAGAGTTTTGTCTGACAGGTGGTCTGAGCCCTATATGTATGTATATGTGTGTGACTGATACAGAGAAATGATATTCAACCTGTTAGGACAATTTACACGCATGATCATGTGTTGTTCTATAATTCAGGAAGCCACAAGTCCTGAAAATCGCAGTGTCCGTCCTTGGATTGTCATGTATGGGCACCGTCCAATGTACTGTTCCAACACTGGTGATGATGACTGCACACATTATGGAACTTACACTCGTGTTGGCCTGCCTTTCCTGCATTGGTTAGTGAATCATGTTAAACTGACAAAGTATTTTCAATGAAGCAGGATCCTTCTGGAGGTGCCAGTAGCCACTGAGCTGCTCAAGGGATTCCCTGCCTGTTATGCAACCTGACAGTTCATTACCATATTCACAAGAACCTCCTCATTCATATCCTGAGTTGAATGAATTGAGTCCACACCCTACTATCCTAAATCTTTCAGTTTCACTTTAATATTATCTTCCTGTATAGTCCTTGACCAACTAAATGACCTCTTCCTTTTAGGATTTCTGGCCAGAATTTGATATTGATTTTATCTTTCCTGCATGCTGCATGCCCTGCACATCTTATCCTCCCTGTTTCAGTTATCCTAATAATAGCTGCTGAAGCTTCTCATTATGGAGTTTTCACAGTTTGCCTATATTTTAAGTATGGATTTGCCAGTTGAATTTTGTCATACTGACGGAAACAGTATTTGCATCTGTTATAGTGGGTTTTTGTTAGAGCAAGAACAGCTTTTCGAAATTTTCCCCAATCTGAATCATTGCTTTGCATGCTTTGTTACACACATGAATGTGATGTTTTGCTTTAGCTTTAAAATTTCATATTATTACTGATTAATATTTCTTAAGTTGCAAGTGTAGAGCTTGGTAATTACAGGGTGGGGCTCAGAAACTTCCTTTTTTGAAGGTGAATAAAATAAAAATTATTGCTGATAGACAAAATTTATGTTTAGCTAATGAAAGAACATACTTTAAAGTTTTAAATCATGCAGTTTTAAACAAAATCTTGAAGGTGGTGGCCACCGCTCTCTATGCACTGATGCAACCGTTTTCTGAAGTTCCCCTCTGCACGTTCCAACATGTGCACCAGAATTTGGGCTACTTCCTGCCGAATAACATTCTTCAGCTGAAGCAGGTTTGTGGGGCGATGTTTAAAAACCTCTGCCTTGAGGTATCCCCATAAAGAAAATCACAGGGCATTAGATTAGGTGAGTGCGCTGCCCACGGGATGTCACCTCGAAGCGAGATGAGCCATCCGGGGAACTTTGCCCTCAGAACTGTCATTGAAGCTCGGGTTGTGTGGGCCGTGGCACCATCCTGTTGGAACCAGATATTTCCTAGATGCATTTCTTCAAGAGTTGGTTTGAAAAAGTTTTTAATCATGTCCACATACCACTGTGAGCTGACAGTAACTGCATGATTGTCTTCTTCAAAAAAATAAGGGCCAATAACTCCAACTCTCGACAACGCACACCATACTGTCACCTAATCACTGCGAAGTGGCCTCTCATGGAGCTCTCTGGGATTGTTACCACTCCAATAGTGCATATTCTGCTTGTTGACATATCCTGATAGGTGAAAATGTGCCTCATCACTAAAGAAAACAAGTGCGTCAGGGTGTAAAGTTTCCAATAACATTTCGCATGCCGTTATTTGGTTCTGGAACTCATGTGGTGACAAATCTTGCACAACCATCTTATAGGGATGGATATGTAGATGTTCGTGAAGAATTTGGCGCATTGAATGATTGGATATGTCTAGGACGACTGTCTGTTTACGAGTGGAGCGTCTTGGAGATCTCAAAATCGACTGTTGAACTGCCTCCACATTTTCTGGCGTCGTAATGGTCCGTTGTGGTCCTGATGATTTTTTCACCACACTCCCGGTTGTCCTAAAGTTCTCTACCCACAAAACAATCAATTTCCAGTCGGGAACCGGACCTCTGGGCTTAATTCCGAAGTGAGTACGGAACGCACACTGCACCGCCACATAGGAATGGTTGTTCGAAAAATAGGCTTCGACAGCAAGCGCACGCTGCTCACTCGTCCACCTCATGTTTCCTACTGAGGGGTATTAGACAGAAACTTCTGCGACTGCTGCGTTCGCTGTGCCTATCCCCACTTTTCTGCGACCTCCCCTCCCTTCACAATGCGTCTTCACAAACAGGACAGGACAGCGACTAACCGCTTGAGCTATGGCGCAGCCTTGTGGAAAACCTTAAATGGAGGTAATGTAACACTAACTAAACTTCATGGAGTTGAGTCGTTCTTGAAAAGCCATCAGTTGCTCGGTTACTCAAGAATTTCCCTTAAGGTTCATTACTGTGTTTACAAGAGCCTAGCACTGGTCCCTATCCTGAGCCAGATCAATCTAGTCCATACCACCTCACCCTATTTCTCTAGCATCCATTTTAATATTATTCCACCTACATGTAGGTCTTCCTAATGGTCTCTTACCTTCTGGCGTTCCCACCAGAACCTTGTATGCATTCCTCTTCTCCCCACTACATGCCCTGTCATAATCATTTATCATTCAGAGTATTAATCTTGCATCATAGAACTTGGACAGTGAAAGAGAGAAAACCTTATATCAAATGAAATAAATGGGGGTTCCACGTAAATACTATGTGTAATATCATCATCCTTTCCAGTATTAGGCCTATTAAAGCTTGTTATATATTACAAAACACAATCCACCTGTCTATTCAGAGGTCTTCCCAAACTTCTTTTTCCTTTTGGTTGATACTTTAAGATTTCTTTTTTGTAACCTTGTCAGAGCTCATCCTGTCAGTATATTCTTTCCTGTTACCTTTATATGGACTATAAATTCTGTTATTTGTAGAATTTATAGTTTTCATTTATTTCATGATCTGAAGGAGTGTATCCTGCTGCCCCCCTCTTGAAATGCATTTCTGGTGATACTGGTCTTTTTACAGTTCTCTTCATTGTCCATGTTTCATTTCCGTAAGACTTTAGTATCTGTAACTTCTGTTGAAGAAAGTTTCTGTTATATGCAGCAGTAATTGAGAAAGGTGTCCTGTGTACTTAAGAACAGCACTGCTCACTTTATATAACATGTCCTAATTCTGTTCTTATATGTGATATTGTAGGTTTGGTATGGAAAAGTTGCTGTATGACTATGGTGTTGATTTAGTCATATGGGCTCATGAACATTCATATGAGCGTTTATGGCCACTGTATGACTACAGAGTCCATAATGGAAGCTATGAAGAGCCGTATCGTGATCCAGGTGCACCAGTTCACATTATTTCAGGATCAGCTGTAAGATTCAAATACATTTAAAAGTTCTGTTTGTAATTTCAGCTTTCAGGTTTTAGCCAGATTGTGTGTCAAAAGGTGTTCCATTTTATATCGATATCAAGAGTAAACTTAAAATATTAGTATAAGAATCCTACCCGCTGTAGGTTATATGATCGTAGAGGAAGTTATTTATTATTAAAAGAGACACAAATGAAATTTGGAATAGACTTACATACATGTAGAAGATACAGTAAAGTTTAGAGGTTTATGAAAATAAAGGGTCATAGGATTCATGCATATTTAGGATGGTATCATTGGTAATCGGAAGCAGTTTATGTCCATTGAATTACTAATTCAGGAAATGTCAGGAAAGAGTACATTTGTAATTGATCCTACACATTGCATTAATAGAGCAATTTATGTTCAGGAAGTAATGTCAACTATAGCAGTGAAAAAGTTCTTAACAGCCTTGAAGGACAAATTGAAACAAATGTAGACCCCATTCTGTATAGACCTTCTACAAAAAAAAAAATACATTTCCCAGGGTCATTACAAATCATATCTAATGTACACGTTCATGCAGTGTGTTAATGCTAACAGTATGTTGCAACAGTAAACCATAATTTCAGAGCTTTCACTGTTTGTTGCAGAATTTTTATATATTTATCATAGATACTTTGTCATTTTATGTGAAAATTCCAGGAATTATCATATAATTCTGTAAGTGTTTGAAAATATGCTGTTGTCCCTAGGGTTGTAAAGAGGACACCAGTCCATTCAGGGGAGATCTCCCATACTGGTCAGCATTCCGCAGCACTGACTATGGCTACATGAGGATGCGAATCTTCAACAAGACACATTTGTACATGGAGCAGATATCTGTGGATAAGGTACGTGTTTAGAACTTGACTGTCACCAGTTCTGTTTCCTGTTTCCATACAAGTTTCCTTGTAAACTTCTAACTTCCTTGGTTAGTCCCTTCTGTACCTGAAAAAGAAAACACTATTTTGGATCTTCATATCATCACATAAACCATACATGATGGAGACAGAGATGCAGCCTGAAGCATTGGACAAATGACTCCATATTGAAATGGCTGAACGCCTCAGAAGACTTTGTTGCATATTGTATTGTCTAAAAATTACTACTTTCTATTTGCAGTTGCAATAAAGTAATATTTTGTAGTGGAAGAATTTAAATTAATTTTTTTTTCATACGATGAGATATGCTATCTTAACGATTTAAATCATCATCTTTTTTTTTCCATCAATGTTTCCATTTTTGTGTGGTTCATCTAGCAGTCAGTCCCTTCCATTACTTGACTTCCCAAATTCTGTCATCCTCATTTTCCTCGCATGTTCTTAATTTCTTTTGCATGACATCTTTTCTAACCTGTTATTCCTATCTTGATTTAAGTTCATCCTTCAGTATTCTCCTTTAAGTTTCACGTTCGGAACCTGCTTTGGGATTATCTGTCCTTTCAACCTTAAAACATGTGTGATGTATCATATGCCAATTACTTGTTAATTTATCTCCCAGTGAACTTATCTTCTAACTTTGTCTAGATTTTTCATTTCTTGTTCTCACTCACTTGCTCATGTTTTCCCTTCTGTAACTATGACCCTGGGGTCAACTCAGCCTCTGACAGAAATGAGTACCAGGTATCTTCCTGGGGATAAAGGGCGTCCAGCCAGTGCATAAGGCTGACAACCTCACTGCCTTCTATGAGTCAGTTGTTTAGAAAATGTAGGAGCCTTGACATCTCACAACCTTAGGCGCCTCCATGGCCTGTTACAGGGATAGCTTTACTTTTTCTTACCTCTTAGAACTCTCATCTGAGCCTTGCATAGGATAACTCTCTGAATTAGGTTGAATTCTTGCAGTTTGTCAGCTTTGTTTATTTACTCTTTGGTTTCTGTACCACTATTCAGTGTCACATTTAATTTGTCACATTTGAGGATCTCGTGACAGTGACTATGAAAACTACCATTTTCTAGAATTTGACTCTGTGTACCCTGGTAGAAGTTTATTGATGCGTTGGAGGAATGTGTTGTCTTCATCTTCAGACTAAGCTCTGCAAGCAAGCAGCCCTGCTTGAGGTTTGCTTTTCAGTGGTTTCTTTTTACTCTTTGACCCAAAGATGGAGGTAGTGCATACCTCTGAAGCAGTAACTATCTATCGGACTACACTGCATCACGACCCACAAGAAAATGCTCTTCAACGTAATGTTTAATTAAATCTTTCTTGAATAATGTGTATGTATTCACACTGCCTTTCAATATCTTCTTAATAAATTTACTTCAATTATAAATATTAATTTATATTTTTATTAAATAAATTATTTACCATGTCTGTACCATAATCATTTCTGGGGCATTATTTCATGAAGCTGTCAATACCTAGATGATAAAATGTTGAATGGTAGAATGACTGATAAATAATGATTTGGAAAAAATAGGAAGGAAGGGGTCATGTCCAAATCATGGTACTGTCCTGCCATTTGTCTCTAGAGATTGAGGTAACTGAAAAACTTAACTGGAATTTAAAACAGATGAACAATATAAGTCCATTCATTTCACAGTGGATAGAAGTTTATAAGTCAAAAATTATTTTATGTTGTCTTCTGTTAAATATTCACTGGATTCAATAAATTCTGAAATAAAAATTATAGATTTTAATGACATCTGTATGTTTTGTTATGTTCTAAGTGTGGCAACGTATCGACAATCCCACATAAGTTTAGATGTGGTAAACAGTTTTTTGAGAAAACTGGTAAAGTTTCATGTAAGATTTGAGGTTTTCACAGTGGTCACTGTGAAGAATGTTGTCTTCTGGGATGTGGTGCCTGCTCACGCTGGTTCCTTGCTCTCAGATTTTTCTACCCTCAAGATTGAGGCGATACGTTCCTCCGAAACATCGGTTCACACAAGATCTACACGGCGCCACATCCCAGAAGACGACATTATTCATGGGAAAGTTTTATTTTGCCATGGCATAAAGTAAGATTTACATTTCACTATGCAAACCAAAATGATATTTTCCGTACAAATTTTAATGTATACCCAGAGTATAAAATGTAATTAGATCTGTTGAGTGAGTTTGGAGGTGAAACATGCAGATTGACAGATTCCATCTCTTCATTATGCAGTTTGGCAAAGAATGCATAAAAATCATGAGCATAATTATTTTAGTCTTGGTTCTTGGAACATTGACTATGTCATGTTAGGTGTAAAATGGCTACTTTTTCACATAATATTGGTTGTTTACACTTCTGTTGCAGGAAGGTGAAGTGATTGACCATATCTGGCTCATCAAAAATAGTCACGGGTCATATGCATAGATGAAGGGCATCACCACATGAGACCAGACATTAAAAGGTTTTAGTTTTATAGTTACATGATACACAGTACAGGTGGATATACTTAACATTCTGTGCATGACATTCACACTAGATCAACTTGGTGTACTTGCCTTCAAACCACCAAAGCAGAAGAGGTCAGTTCATTGTTGTTCAATCAGTACAGGATCAATAGATGGCATCAGATGTGACATATCAGTGTTTAGAAGAAAGACTATGCTTTAAAATTATACATACCTGCTATAGTTTGAGGGTCATTTGAGGACAAAACGCAATCTAACCCCGTGACCAGTAGTCCGCAAGCAAACTGTACCAACCGCCTCTGTGGTCTAGTGGTCAGAGTTCCTGGCTGCAGATCCGGATGTCCTGGGTTCGATTCCCGGCGCTACCAGATTTTCTGAGAAGTAGTGGGTCTGGAACAGGGTCCACTCAGCCTTATGAGGATAATTGAGGGGCAATTTCAAGAAAATAGCGGCTCCAGTCTAGAAAACTGAGACTAATGGCCATGGGGATCAGTTGCGCTGACCACATGACAACCTCTGTCTTCGAAGTTGGCACTAACCTTGCTGACAAGCGGAGGTCACTCGGTCTGTCATTTCAGGACAGCATGGTTAGAATTTTCTGTGCAGCTGCAGTAACTCAAATGTCCTTGGAATTTCTAGCAGATTGTTTTATGGCAGTGGCTGGCAGTTAGAGGGTTAAGCTGAGGAAGCTGTGAAACTGTTCTTCAAGCAGTATTAGTTGGTGTGACCTGAGGCTCTCATGGCAGTATGTATTAAGATTATGGTCTTCAGTATAAACCTTGATAAGTGATGACATGTAGAAGTAAAAATGTTCACATAAAGGGGATGATAATTTATGTCATTCAAATCTTCCTGGGGCTGAAGAGCGGCTGGCGTGTCAGGCTGACAACCTCACTACAATCTGTAAGCCAACTGTCTAGAAAATGTGGGAGCCTCGACGTCTCGCAAACCTATGGGCTGTTACAGCCATACATTTACTATAAGAATTATACCAACTTCCTGTAATTCAGGTAACCATCACAGGCCATTCTTGCGTTTAGTGTCACCTCACTTCAGGAGTACAGAAATAGTGAAATGATGTTGCAGTGCTATGCATGTTGCTGTTCTGCTGGTGGTGGGAGGGCAGTTATAATATGAAAGAAAACATGTTTCGTGCTACTGGTACCAAATGTACAACATATCGTGATGTATGTGTTCAGGTCAATTCATTGCGAAGGCGAGTTAAGTATATCATCATGTAACATCTTAATATCTGGCATTTATATCTCACGGTTGGGAAATGTTGTCCTGTGAGATTAGATAAAACGTTAAATATAACCTTAAAAATAAAACAGCAATATGTGAGATCATAAATTAAATACATATCTAATAATTATTTGCAGTTTTAGATTTTAGAGTGTCATAATAATTGCGGGGGCACTGTGCTACAAGCCGGAAGGTCGCAAGTTCAAGTCCTGATGAGGTCATTGGATTTTTAAAATTGACCTACTTCTTCCGGCTGCATTATGGCCTTGGGGTCGACTCAGCCTCTAACAGAAATTAGTACCAGGAATTAATTAAATAATTTTCCTGGGGAGTAAAGCGTGGCCAGCGCATAAGCCTGACAACCTTACCGCCATCTTTGAGCCGATTGTCTACATAATGTGGGACCCTCAACGTCTCACAACCCTATGGGCCTTCACGGCCTGTTACAGGGATAGCTTTACTTTTTTTTTCTTACATAATAATTGCAAATAATAACCGCAATGCAAAATGTTAGTTTCTCACAGCTGTGATATACTAAGATTACAGTCTTCTGAGGTTGAGATACTGCGTTGTTGTAGAGGTTTGGGAGACTGCTATCTCCTGATAAAGGCAGTTTGTTCCTCTGAGCAAGGTGTACATATCAACTAACATGCATGATAGTTGTGTGGATTCTTTTAAAACAGTTCCATCTTTTTGGTATTCTATATTTTTATCATAATTGTGTTAAGAATATAATTCCTGTATAGTACATAATGTTATATAGTCTGCTAGAAGTTTAGCAATATTTCAGAAGAACATACTGTGGCCATATTTATGGTGGAATATTGAGCCAGATAAGTAGATAGCAAGAAACAGCTTACTCTTTCACCCAGAAGATGGCAGTAGTATGTTCCTCCAAAACGTTTCTCAACTTGTACCAGGCTACATAGTGTCGTACTGTTGAAGACAGATACTCACTGCTGTGAGAACCTGATCTCCAGCACTGTGATTACTGTTATTATGATTGTTGTTAGAATAGTTTATCTTCCTCGAACATTATTCAGAAGCTATTTTTGACTGTGTATCTGATGGAGTAGACTTCTGAGTAATCATGTAAACTCTTTTGCTTATAGAACATAAGAACATCTATAATCTCCCCCCCCCCACAAAAAAAAACAATATGGATATGTTAAATATATAACAGTAAAGTTGGCCCTGTGCTTAACTAATTAAACACTATGCCATGAAGGCGTATGGGAGAATGGATGTATTGATCCACATTTTCTTGACCTCAGTATTAGATGGAGGTGAGTGGTCAGCTTTGTACCACTTCTGCTTTCCCACTGGGGAAAGAGCCCCTGGTACCCATTGCATAGGAGGGTGGGTGGACCACAGAGCTGGTCTGGATGATGTGGAGAAGAGAAAATTCTTGACCCAACTGGGACTCAATCTCTGACCCCTCTGTCATCCAGCTCATAGCCAGTTGCTATACTGACTACGCTATCCTGGCTCCCTAAACAGTGTTCATATATAACCCATATGTAATGTGGAATACTAATTAGAACATAATTATGATGTAATCAGATGGGCAGCTATGTATTAATACTTCATGTCACACACATGACTGTCAGAAGATGTTTATGTCTCAGCTGAACTTTAAACATGCATGTAAGCATGGGCACCAACAGGGGGGACAAGGGGGACGTTGATTTTGGAGCGGATCAGAACTGAAAAATCACATATTAATATAAATTAAAATGATTAAAAACGAATGTTACTCTTGTATCCTGAATATTATATGGTGGCCCGTAAAAATATTCATGAATGAGTTTAAATGATAATTTATATGCATTCCCACCACAACATAACCCAGCAGCTAATAAACTGGAGTATCATTGTTATGGATGTTCAGAATATGCTGTAATATATAGGCCAATGTTTATAATTTGAATTTTTATACCAAATCGTGAGTAAATGAATAAAATGTGTATTAAGGCTGCATTCGATATTTATGTGTCAACTCCTGCTCCTAAGGTTGCTGGAGACAGTGACAAAATAATTAAGGGCTTGCATCTTATGCGTGCTTTACACGAAGCGTAGATGAGAATACATTACTTGAAGGTCCTGTCAGAAATTATGGAGCTCCGGATTCTGTGATTTTCAGTCACAAGATTGGCTAATATAAATTGCGGATAGATGGCGATAAACTCAGTATGATCTGTGCTGCCATCTATAGATAACATCAGATTTCGTCTGTTCCGTGCTGCCACCTGGTCTGTGGAACTGATTCGCGTTACAAGACATTAAAATGTCTATAATATGACATAATGGCAGTATTTTTGCAATTTACGAATACTTAAACTGCCCCGTATATCGGCGTATCTGTTTTTCATGTCATAAGCTACACACAGACCTATAAAGATTGTTGTTTCTAGACAAGTGAATATCTTAAAACTGGTTTCGATATCTTTCGCATCTCTTCCCATTTCTTTTATTTTTTTTTTTTTTAATTCGCATAGTGAGGGGTGGAGTCCAGCTGGGTCCACTCGGCACAGCTGCCACTGATTAACCTATTGTACCTGCCCTGGGTGATTATGACGATGGAGAATTTGGTGGAATGAAGATTGGCAGGGGAAACCGAAGTACTTGGAGAAATCCGCCCCAGTACCACTTTGTCCAACACAAATCCCACTTGACCAGACCCGGGATCGAATCCGGACCGCCGCGGTGGGAAGCCAGCGACTAACCGCTTGAGCTATGGCGTGGCCTTTTCTCATTTGTTACCGAATTCTCGTTACATTCTAAGTAAGATCAAACAAACAAAATCCTTCTCTAGGGCGGCGCTTAATTCTCAGAGCGCTATTGAGCCTCAGACGTAAGTTAAAAATGGGACAGCCCACGAATTGGTAATGCTTCCTGAAGGTACAGAGCTCGAATTCCAAACGAAACAACGTTATTTCGTGACGCAACCGATTATAATCATTTTCGCTTGGAACTGTCTTGCCAAATATTATGAGATGAAATAATCTCAAGTACATTAATCCCACAGAACAAACCGTGTATGTCTTTCATCAGGAAAGCGAGTGTAGAGCTAAATTTCAGAGGCAAAATACGAAAAAGTACAGTGCTCGCAAGGGAAATTAAAGCGATGTGCTCGCTACAGAACATCCACATTGTAGAGCTCCAGCAGTCAAGCTGAAGATGTGCACGCAAATACGGAATGTAGCATCGGACAGTTAAAAATGTAAAAGCTATTCCTGTAACAGACCGTGGAGGCCCATACGTTGAGGCTCCCACATTTTCTAGATAATCGGATCACAGATGACTGTGAGAGTCAGCCTTACGCGCCGGCCGCCCTTTACCCTCAGGAAGATTCCTGGCTCTCCTTCCTGTTAGAGTCTGAGTCGACCACAGGCCCATAGTGCAGCTGGAAGGATTAGATCAATTGGAAAAAAATCCAATGATCTCATCGGGAATCGAAACCGCGACCTTGCGGATTGTAATATAGTGCCTCGATAGAGTACGCTACCATGTGTCCCAGCATCCTGAGAAGCTGATAGTACCCCAGCTGTTCAAGAAATTCCTCGCCTTTTACGAAACCCAGAGATTTCTTGCTGTGAGATTTGAGGCGACTATTACTATCGTCTGGTATATGACGCCGTATAGTCTGGTAGATCGTTATAAACGTTCCTTACGCTTCTCCTTATTCCTGTTGGTTCGCTCAGAGGCCGAGTCTCAGTCTCTTCACCCATAGGCCAATCCTTGCAGTTTCTCTTCCACGTTCCTGCCATGTAAATGGAGGCAGGGCATATCCCCGAAACGTTAACAACCGTTAATCAGACTATACGGAGTCGTATTTCACAAGACAGTAACATTCGTTCATTACCGTGACCACAAGATACTTCAAAATGTCCCTATCCTGAGGCACATGAATCCAGTCCACA